CACGGATTGGAAGAATTAATATTGTGAAAATGACCACCCTACCAAAAGCCATTTATAGATTCAATGTAATGCCAATGAAAATCCCATGACATTCTTCACAGAATAGGAAAAAAAAAATCCTAAGATTCATATGGAAGAACAAAAGACCTCAGATAGCCAAAGCAACCCTGAGCACTAAGAGCAATGCTGGGGAGATTACAATACCATATTTTAAACTGTATTACAGAGCTATGGTCACCCAAACAACATGGTATTGGCACTAAAATGGACCTGTAGATAAATGGAACAAAATTGAAGACCCAAATATGAGTACCTGCAATTTCAGCCACGTGATATTTGACAAAGGGGCCAAGGATATTCACTGGAAGAAAGACAGCATGTTCATCAAATGGTGCTGGCAAAACTGGATCTCCATCTATAGAATAATGAAATTAAACCTCTATCTTTCACCTTGCATGAAAGTCAACTCCAAATGGATCAAAGACTTCAATGTGAAGCCTGAAACTATGAGAAGAAAACATTGGCAATAACCTACAAGATATAGGTGTAGGAAAAGATTTTCTAAACTGGACATCAATTGGTCAGGAAACAAGGTCAAGAGTCAACAAAATAGGACCTCATTAAACTAAAAAGCCTCTGTACATCAAAAGAAGCAACCAAGGAAGCGAAGAGAAAAGCCACAGAATTTGAGAAAATCTTCACCAGCTATACAATCAACAGAGGCTTAACATCCAGAATATATAATGAACTCAAAAAACAATGAATTAAGAAAACAAGTAATCTAATTAAAACATGGGCTAAGGAGCTGAACAGAGTTCTCAAAAGAAGAAATAAAGATGGCTAAGAAGCACCTTGAAAGGTGTTCAACATCACTAGTAATTATGGAAATGCAAATTAAAACCACTTTAAGATTTCATCTTACCCCAGTCAGACTGGCTAAGATCAAGAGGACAAATGATCCAAATATTGGAGAGGATGTGGGGAAAGGTGGGGCTGCAAACTTGTTCAATCCCTATGGGAAGCAGTGTGGGAAACTCTTAAAAAACTACAAATGAACCTACCATTTGACCCAGTTATACCACTCCTTGGCATATACCCAAAGAACTTATCCTATTGCAGAGACACTTGTACATCCATGTGTGTTGCTGCTCTTTTCACAATAGCTAAGAGATGGAAGCAACCTAGGTGTCCCTCAATTGATGAGTGGATAATGAAAATGTGGTTCATTTATACGATGGAGTTTTACTCAGCAGTAAAGAAAGATGAAATCATGAAATTTGCAGGTAAATGGATATAACTGGAAACTGTCATACTAAGTGAAGTAACACAGGCTCAGAAAAACAAAACAAAACAAAACAAAAATGACATATGTTCACCCTCATATGTGGATCCTAGAACCAAATCCTGATAAGTGAGTATGTATCCAGACATAACTACGGAACCAGATAATGAAAAGGAACTAGGTAAGTAAAGGAAAAGAAAGAATCTGAAAGAGAACAGTATGAAACAGGCCTTAATAAGGGAGATATGGGTAAAAATGGGGTTATTTTAAGGGGAAAGGGGAGGGAGGGTTATACAAGGAACCTTGGGGATAAAGGGAAAGAAGGAGGTGGGGCCAAAGGAGAAGGGTATTATTAAGGGAGAAATGGGAAAGATGGAGGCACTTTAAATGGGGAAACCACGGTGGATGGGTTAGACAATGCAAGAGATAAATAATGCCTAGCTGTGTTTTAAAAAACAAGAGGAACCCATATAAGTACAACAACCTACTGACAAATTATCTATACAGGTAGCTCAAGGAATATAATATACGTCTAGGCAAGGTTTATCTGAGAAACTTTGGTCTTGGCCCAAGCTTTTTCTACATAGCACATAGTAATTAAAAGTACTAGACTGGTGGAACTAAGCTTCTTGGAAGTTTAACAGCCATACTTTGAGGCCTATACTAATTTGGTCAGAGGGACTTAAAGGACAGTTTTTGCTCCTTGCGCACCAAGATTGACCAAGTTCCAGGAGACTACGAGCATCACTCAAAATGTCCTGTAACTGTGGTGAGTCACCTGTCCTCGTGATCAAGGAGGCCATGGAGACCCCAACAGATGGACTTGAACCAGTGTCCAGTCTACAAAGAGGAGGGTCAACAAAGAGGAAACATTTCCTCCATGCTTCCAAGTGAAGCCAGCCATGGTTGAGTAGGACTTTTGACTTATCTTCACATAGATGAACTGGTTTAAAAAAAAAAAGGAGCCAGGGGCTCCTCCAAAGCCCTTGAGGAACAGATCCTCAAATGACTTTAATAGTAAAAATAAATTGATTTATCTGGGCCAACTTTATGGTTTTAAACACTCAAAAGGAAAGTATAACCAAAGATTAAGGGGATCAATATAATTCTTTAAGAGTTCCATGTGTATAGTTAAAGGCTACATAACAAGAAACAATGCCCGACAGTAGATACCTTCCTTTGAGTTGTTGGCCAAGGTAGCCCAAGAGACTCCCAGACAGTAACCCAGCACAGAACTGGGAAAATGAACAGCAGACCCCAATCTTATCTAAAGGAATATTGGCAACTGATTGCTGCTAGATGAGGAAGAGCTGATCGTCCTAAAACAAGGAACTATAGATAGACTGAATAGACTCTGGATGGGCAAACATTGGGGAACAGCTGAGGGCACCGACAACACAGTGGACAGTAATAGGGATGATAGCTTATATGGGCTCTCGTGGGGGCGGGCTATGAGAGAGTGCCATTTGGGAAGTGGGTATATAGATGAATAAGATTGTTTAGGATGTTCTGTATGAAATACACACAAAAACATCAATAAATTAAAAATGAGTTATATTTGAGGAAGAAGCACAGAAATTTGCTTCATGATAATTAGTAGAGGTGAAAAACATTACCCCTGAATTCTACCTGATGACTTTATATCCATGCTCAGGTGCCTAGGATCTCAGAAAATAGCTGACTGTGACTAGTAGTATTCAGATATAAAGCGATTAGAGATGCATGTGCACACGTCTAAGTGTTGGTTGCATTAAAAATTAGTTTTTCTGTATGAAACAGCATATTTTAAAATGACTTGGAGATCTTTTTGAAGGTTAAAACCTCATTCAATTACCTCATTTAATTTTATGTCTTATAGGGTTTATATGGAGTACAATATTGTATAACTGTATTCATTCAACTGTGAACCTAAAAATTTACAGTCAATTTTGAAAGAGATGCACCTTTGCTCTGGAAATTGTTATTGAATATGACAATGATATTGTAATGAAATGCTTCTTCTAATCATGTGGTTATTAAATCAATAATTTTTAAAAAGATTTAATCTATTTTCATCTTCATTTCGTGTAATAGCAATGTCCTTTGCTCTGTCCAGAAGTTTATACTGGAGCGATGTGGAATGGCAGGTGTATGTAAAACATGTTTGGTTGTGAAATACTATGTGAGGCAAAATTTTAGTTACTATTTCCTCCCAAATACAATAAATAACACAAATATTAGCCACCTATCCTATGGAATATGTTTTACTTGGGTTCTCCATTTGTCTATATTATAAGACTAAATTTGAGTCAAAGTTCAGTAGGAGTGTTCATTTGGGGGATGTCCTTGATTCAAAACTTGATAAAGTTTTCCTTTTTCTGTAATCATCCTGTCAATAGCCAAGTTAATAAAAGCAAACAAAACTGCTTCCCTGAAGCACAGCTCACCTGTAAGACACTGTTTGCCCTCTGAAAACAAATGAACCATATTAGAAGCTTTCTACTAAGATCCAACCTTTTGCTAATGATCTGTGGTAAGTCTCTCCATCTGTCATCCAGCTGCTCCAAGTGAAGCTTCATCATCTTCACGTCATCTTTGGAGGCCACTGAGAACAGAGACTCTTTCAGCTGCAGAAGATTGCTGTACAGCGAGGCCTGGGATACAACTTCATCTTGCAATCCCTGAAGAACAGAACATAAGACAGATTTCACCTTTACAGTGTGTAGGCTTTGCATTCTTGCAAAATGGAGGTCATTAGTTAGAAGAGAATGGTATTTGGTTTAGCAATGGCTCTGTCACTTTTAACCCAATTTTAAAAGTCCTATTGAAGTGAGCAGTAAGTTAAGCAAATTTTGAGATTGTGACTTTCAATGAGGAACCTGAGTAGGTAAAGAGAATCAAGGAAAATCTATCACAGAAAAAAAAAAAAACATTGCATATCTACTAATAACAGGTGCTATGTTTAGATCCTATGTTGGAGAACTTGAGGGCTGTTCATTTTACTTACATTCAATAAAACTCCTTATTCATTTTTTTCAAAGTAAACTGGGCAATGGATCTCATGTGCTCTTAGGGGACATCAAGGCTATGGTTCTTGCCCCAAAAGAGGTAAGACACAAATATAAATGTTGACAGCTGACGACAATTAAAACAGACACAAGTGAGATAGATGACACAGCACACAGTAAATGCTCATCAAGACGTTTTCTTTGACTTCCAGTGAGGCTCCACGTGCCAGGAAAACTGCGGAAGCAGCGAGGGATGGAGTGCCTGTTTCAGGATGACAAGGAAAACCTCAAAACAGACCTGGGGCTTAATGCTGGGGAGGACACAGGGGAGAAGAGGCCCAGGAGGCCAGGCCAGGAAGTGGGGTGCACATCTTGTCAGGCCACAGTAGAGAGGAAGCTTGGCTGATAGTGCATTGTCCAGACACTGAGGCTGGTGGTCCACTGCTGGTCCTCTCCTGTATGGTACTAAGTTTCCACATGGAGAGACACAGAAAGAAGTAGGGTTGTTTGCACCCGAATATCTTTGTGTCTGTGCTTCGTCACTTTTAAGGGAAGGAACGATGACTTGGAACACCTTACACACCCAGATGTTAGAGGACTGAATCAAACTCTGTACCACTTGTCCTTCATCCTCAGGACAGTCACTAGGCTTCTGGAAGGTGGCTTTTTGGAAAATGAAGAACATTCATAGTACATAAACTGAAAGGGAGATGGCAAAGGTGTGGCACCTTCTCCAGGACAAGGAACGAGAAAATGTGCAGGCTGTAGTGGGTTTGGATGCTACAGACGCTTGTAGTGGACTTTTGGGAGAAGTAATTATAAAAACGAAAAGAGCCGAGCTCCTTTTTAAGTTACTGTAAAAGATGATAGAGAAAGCTGAGCTGTAGCAATTCTGCCTGTTGACTTTTCTAGCGTAGAAGGCGTCACTTCTGGCACATTAGTGCTCTTCCGAAACGAGTAACATTCTCTGTAGCTTCAATCACACCTGAAGTTTTACTTTTCTATCTTATAAAATTGGCTTCTCAAGATCATTGCAAAGCTTGTCTTCCTATCTTCACATTACTGTGTTTTTTGGTTTTTTTCTGTCTTGCTTGAACATGATAGTAACTCTTAACTTCTTTTTATATTCTATTCTTTCTTATAAAAATACCTTTTGGGCCAGAGAGAGGGCTCAGTGGTTAAGATCACTGGCTGCTCTTGTAGAGGACTGGGGTTCAATTCCCAGCACCTGCATGGTGGCCAACGACCATCTGAAACTCCAATTCCAGGGGTTCCGATGCCCTCTTCTGACCTCCCTGGGCATTGCATGACATGGGTTCATTCACACACATGTAGGCAATATGCTCAGACACATAAAACAAAAATAATAAATAAAATATTTTTAAAATACCTTTTTATTTCAAAAAGGTCATGTAAGTACAAAAGGGGAGAGATTATAGAGACTGCCCACTGCAGAGATGATTAGCAAAGCCACCTTCATTCTATCTACACATTTCTGTGTGTCTTTACTCTCCTGACAAGTCAGTTTTGTTCAAATTCTGCACATTGCACAAGCCATGGACACAGGTCAGCACAGAGTCCTCATCATCGCTGTGTCTCTTAGGTCAGGACCACTTTCTTTTTTTTGGGGGGGTCATATTTTGAGGTCAAATGATGCTTCAAGGATGATAGAACCAAAGGAAGAAGTGAGTGGCTTAGGGTTTACTTAATAAATTAACTTAAAAGCAATCTGACTATACAAGAATATTCCGTTTTCCTTGACCATGCCTCCTTGAACTTGCCTGTATTAGTTGTAGTTCACTCTCTGCTTTGACTCTGTCTGCAGAAATGTCCATTTCTGGGGAACTGGCTATGGCTTCACATCGCTCTAACCAGGTCAGAAAGGACGATAGTTCCTTCTCCAGCCTGAAGAAACAGAGAAAAGAAATGACTTCATACAAGATGATCGCACTAGAAGACAAAATCTTTCTGAGGTTGGCAGGTCCAACATCAAGGCTTACAAATTGACTGCATCGGTTGTGATGTTCCTGCATGTCACAGTGCTAAGCTCCATTCATTTTCCTGTTTGTATTTGCACACTTGCTCACGTCTGTGCAATAAAAAGACACATGTACCTCTTCTCTACTCTCAGGCCCACCCATGTCTCATAATGAATACCAAGATCTCCCCACAACTGACATACAAGTCCACACCTCTTACATCTAGAGTGACTGTTTCTCATCATTTAAGGAATAGCTCATCTCAAATTTCCTGCTACCAGTGAGAGTGATTCAGGACAGAACACTGCTTACCTCTGCCAGTGGGACAGCAGGTCCTTCAGGGCGGCCTGTCTCTCTTTGGCCTTGCTCAGTGTCCCCTCGTACTGCTGCTGTAGGGCCACAGCTTCCTGGATGCAGGATTCTTTGTTCACCATCTTCTGGGCACTGGCTGAGAAGGTGGTGACTGTGCTGTTTAGAGACTCCAGGGCCTGACAGAGATCCTGGGCGAGAGCAGAGGGATTACAGGAGTGTCTCCTAATTCACAGGAGGTGTGGGCTAAAATGATTTGCAGTTATCTGCAAATGCAGGCAGCAACCTCTGCCTACTAGGCTTTATCTATGCCTATGTAAAGTTTAATTTGTAAATGAGGCATATATAGCAAGAGAGTAACAACATTCACCAATAAGATAGATTAATTATAATAATATCCTGTGATTGCAATGCAGTCTTGGTTGTCAACTTGATTGGATCTGAAATCAACTAAGAGACATGAGTCTGGGAGGTCTATGAGGACATTTCCTAGAAGGATTAACCAAAGGGTGAATTCTCTCTGAATGGGCAGCACCTTCCAGAAGCCCTGATATAAGGAGATCTGAGGGAAAAGCTCTTGCTTTTTGCCTGTCTGTCTTCATTCCTTGCTGGTGAGTACATCTACTTTGTCATTGCTATTTCTGCAGCCACCACCTTTCGCTGACAGTTCCAATTCCAATATGAACTGAAGACCGATAGGTGGCTCTCCAGACCTTCAGCACCACACTGGAACAGCTGCAGCATGCAGCCTGGAGGACTGAGCAGTTACCAGGTTCTCAACCTCTCCAGTGTGCAGATAGTCATTGTTGGGCTGCCCAGTGTCAATCATGAAAGCCAATCTTCTGAGCTCCCTTTATAATATATATTCGTTCTATCTATTTTCCTCTAGAGAGCTTTGGATAGCATAGTAATGAAGGTTATTTAAAATGCATGGGTTACTTACTATTGAAATTTTCCATGGAATATTTTAAAGCTGTGGTTGGCCTCGGGTAAGTGAAATCACAGAAAGCAAAGTTGTGGTGAGGGAGAGAGCTGAACACCCAAAGCCCAGCATGAGCAACGAGACCTGTGCTTCTCAGTATGGCTCATCATCATGAAGTAACTTGAGCCATGTTAGTGAAAAGTGTCCCTGCCATGATTTCAGGGAGACATGGTGAAGGTGAGAATGCTAGTTCAGAGATGTGGAAATCTGAAGGGAGACAGATGTCCCCCATTCAGAATGGGAGGCTGGAGCCAGTGAGATGGCTCAGTGGGTAAAGGGGCTTGCTGCCAAAGGGGCTTGCTTTGATGACCTGAGTTTGATCCCCAAGACCCACATGGTAGAAGGAGAGAATTGACTCCTCCAGGTTGTCCTCTGACCTCTACATGACTACCCCACAATAAATCAACAAATATAATGAAAAAGTTTTAGAAAAGTCATGACAACTATGTTAAGGGCAGGATCCTGTCTTAGACATAACATGTTTTTAAAAAGGAATGTGTGGCTGTGTATTTGAATAACCACCAAGTCAGATAATTTGTGGAAATTATTATTCATTTTATGCTGAATATATGAATACTTAGAATCCCATTCTATTTATACCTATAAAATATATTCAAAGATTTACAGCTGAGGTTATTGATGTCAGGGACGATGATGATGACGATGATGATGGTGATGGTGGTGGTGGTGGTAGTGGTGATGGTGATGATGATCTGATAACATAGAATATAGCAGGTACTATGTTATGCACATTGTATGTATTAATTTAATCTTTGGGGCTGGAGGGGAAGTGGCTCAGCTTTAAGAGTGCATAGCGTTTTGCTTTCCCAGAGAAAACCCCAAATAGTTCCTATCACACATGTCAGGTGGTTCACAACCACTTATGACTCCAGCTCCAGGAGATCCGATACCTTCTTCTGGTCTCCATGGGCGCTTCACTCATGTGCACATAGTGACATACAGGCAGATACATATAAGAATAATTAAATAAAAATAAAATCTTTAAAATATTTAGTCTTCAAAATCCTAAGAAGCACTGTAAAAAAAAATATTTCCTATTTTACACATTAGAAAATCAAGACAGAAAAGCAACAGCTTGCCTCTAAATGTTTTCTTCAGAAATATGAGTAAAAATTGAATGTTATTTATTTTCATATTCTAATTTTAGTTGAATGTTATAATAGTTCATTAAATTGGATTTTCCTACTTTGTCTCTTTTGTATTAAAACAATATAACAAAAATTCTTTCTTGCTGAAAATGTTCACACAGTACTGGTCACACATCTTTCCAGATGTGTCTTGGTTAACGTTCACTCTCTGTCTCCACTGCTCTCCTTCTCTGTACTTAGGAGGCGACTATGAAGCAGAATCTTTTGCTTTTTAGTCAACATGCTTCTTGTTAGTGCTTCTTTGTTCATGATCCTCCACTTTTTCTTCTTTCTCCAGATTCTTCCAAAACCATCTACTGTCTTGCTAAAGACTGACAATGATCAGCAATTCAGGAGCCAGTCCTAAAGGCCAGTCCTTGAATTACATGGGGGGGGGGGACAGATTCTTTGCACATCTGAATGTACTTGGTTAATATCTACATTCTGCTATGCAAGCATATTTTTCTCCCACATTTAAGCTGGCAAGAGGGAAAGGAGTCATTAAAAATCTAATCTGAAAACATTATGTTCTAATGTTTTCATTAGAAACATTTCACACTATGTCCGTGTGTATATGTCTGTGGTATATATACACGTTCTCATGCATGTGAGCATACGTCTCTGTGGGGGTGCACATGCATATACATTTATATGCATGTGGAGGTCCAGATTTGACATCGGTATCTTCTTCAGCCACTCCACCTTGTTTACGGAGGCTAGGTCTTCCCCTTAACCTGATGCTCACTAATTCTGAATAGACTAGCTAACCTTCTTGCCCCTGTGAGCCCACAGAGATGGCAGAGGGCCCCCAAGTGCTGGTATTGTTTACAGGTGGCCTCCGGGCCTGCCCTGTTTTCACGTGGATTCTTGGAATCCAAACTTCCATCCTTACACTTGCATAGCAGGCACTTGATTCAGTGAACCATCTCCCTACCCTAAGAAATAAATTTAAAATGAAGATTCCTTTCATATGTATACTGAAAATCTATTTGCATACTTATCTGTCTTGTTATATGAGATTTGTTACATAAAATTATCTGAACCACTTATATTAACTCTCACAAAAAATATTTATTCTGTTTTCTTTTCAAGTAGTAGTAGGAATCAACGAGCTTTTTGAAATAAGAAGAAGCATGGAGGTACAGTCTCACCATGTGCTCTTGGAGAACTCTATACGTCTCTGTAGCTGAAGAACATATTTTAATTGGATCCATTAGCTTCTCTTCAAATTCAGACACGGATTGCTGGATCTAAAAAAAGGTAGAATATAAAACTAATGTAAGAAAGATGTATATCAAGGCAGAGAAGGTTATTGAGGACACATCATACCTGCCTTTTAAAAACAATTTTATCTATCTGTAATTTTACATGTGCAAGTATTTTGCCTGCTTGTATGTAAACATAACATGTGCATGTAGTGACTGTGGCAGCCAGAAGAGGGTGTCTGATCCCCTGGGACTAGAGTTATAGCCAATCATTTGCTGCCATGTGGGTGATGGGAAACAAAGCTGGGTCCTCTGCAAGAGCAGCCAGTGCTCTTAACAGCTGAGCCATTTTTCCAGCCCCCATAAAATGTCTGAATTTTATGGATAACTTTCAATCTGATCATTGTATTTTCCAAAAGGCATTTTTAATAAAATCTAAAATCAGTGCCTCTTCTTTGAAAGAAAAATTAAGACTTAACCTTAACGCAATATGTAATGAAGCAAGTGCATAGATGCCCCCAGAGGAACTATATAAATAATTCCAAACTTAGCTGTTCACAGTTTGTCAGATGATTAGTTCTTATTCTGGTCTTTCTGTGGTGTTTGGAACATTTGTATATAAATATAACATGAAATATATAACTGTAGCATGCAAGGACCAGTTCTTACCTTTCTAAGATTCCCTTCAAACTTCTGCTGCTGCGTTAAGTAGCCCAGGATCGTTCCTTCCAGGCACTGTGCATGCTCTTGGAGTTCTACCCAGTACCTTCTTATTTGCGTCAACTTGGCTTTGATGCGTGCGGACTCCCCAGTGGTGACGTACTGAGCAAAAGACTGAGCTTCTTCTTCTAATCCTGTAAGGCTGCTGATCTTACTTTCTATTTCTTGAATTGCGACCTGGTATTTAAAACAAGAAAAAAATGACATTGGGGGCTTAACAGTCTCGCCTCCATGAAATGGTACAATCACCTGCAGAGACTATCAGGAGAGTTTCCTTAACTGACCTCCAAACACATTTGGGGAATGCAAGAGCAGCTGGGAATAAACATCATGTGTTTCCTGACCTCATTTGGAGAGGACAGACATGTAGAAAAAACATCTAAAAATGCAAAATAATGGTGGCTGTGCTGGCTGGACAGAGACAAACAGAGAAATGGCTGCTCCTCATGGTCAACCAAACATGAAGTTGTCCCTGGAACCCACACAGCGCTTCTGAAGGCTGAGAAGTGTATGCTTCCTTGTCAATTAAAGATTGGAGTCAACTGATCAGGGGAGCTGTGTGTTCCAGGAACTCACAAGAATACTAATATTTGAATATATTTAATTTTTCCAAAAGGTAATTATGTAGGTTATATTTCACTAAAACCCATTGCACTCCCACATAAAACAACCTTTTTAAATTTTATAATTAGTTCTTTATGCCAGTGGTTTCCAAATCTGGAATGAGTTGAGATCCCTGTCCTCAGGAATCCGATGCATTGGTCTAAGGTGAGACTCAAAACTTTTAAAAATATTTTATTACTTTTATTCTATGTGTATGAGTGTATTGCCTGCATGTGTGTAAGTACGCCCGTGTTGTGCAATGCCACGGAGGTCAGAAGAGGGCATCAGATTCCCCGGAACTGGGGTTACAGATGGTTGTTAGGTGCCATGTGGATGCTGGGAATTGAACCTGGGTCCTCTGGAAGAGCAGCTAGTGCTCTTAACTGCTGAGCCATCTCTCCAGCCCCCTAGACTCAAAACTTTTAATTTCTAAAATTCGAATAGGATCTGGGACTTCGTTGGCTGGAAAAAGTATACATATGGTGATTTCAATTTGGGATAGAAAGGCCGTTTTAGCCAATGCAGGAAAAGAACTAATTGGATGTGCTGGCTGAGCACCCGGGGCGGTGGGGGGGGAGTTCATAAATGTGGGATTATTTATGTACAAGAAAAGAAAAATGTATTTCTCTAAGGAGAGGATTAAATCATTTAATCAAATTAGCATCAATAATTCATGCAAAGCTTCCATTTCAAATAAATGGAAACTACTGTTACTCTGAGAAAGATAAATTTGAGACTTCTGCCTCAATGTGACAGTCAGAAATAGTTTCTAGCATGTTAAAAGTCTGGTAGACACCACCTTTTTATTTTTCATATGCAAGATTACAAGAAGTGTATCTGACAGGTAATTTTTATTTGAGTATGAATAGAGTCCTTTTGTAATAGTCACAAATTCAACAAATTATATTAAGTATTCAATAATATTTTTCTATATGCACATAGTACATATAGTAGCAAAAAATTTTAGTGATGAAAAGTTCTGAGTTCTTAGACCAATATATATCATCAATAATTTCATGAATACAAGTCTCAGAATTATATCATTAAATTATGATAAAAATTCCATCCCAGAGAGTGGATAAAAGGTGAAGCCAGAATGTGTTCTTACAATATATCAATTTGGAATAGCATTTAATGATGAACAAAGATGGGCTTAAATTGTCATTGCACCATGTAAACTCTTCATTAGTTTTAATAATAAGAGTGACTTAAGGTGAAACACTGTTTTAAAGGTATTTTTACTCTTCCTTAATGCTGTAAGCCTAAATTTGAACACCCTAGACCAAGGCCCATTGCACCCTAGTCTATTGTTGCTTATTTTCTGTAAAAACCTTGTTTCATATTCCTATTCAATTAATATATTTTAGATCATTTCTAAATGCCAGTTTGGACAAATCAAGATGCATTTCCAGTTTTTATGGTAAGGAAATTCATACCAGGTTGGACAAATCAAAATGCATTTCCAGTTTTATGGTAAGGAAATTCATACCTATTTAGATATTTAATAACAAAATATCATTTTCCTGAGGAATGATAGCAAGATGAAATTTGACTGTTTTATAGTTCAGAGGTGCTTTAAAAGGGGTTAAAATAACATAACAGTAAATAAATTATTGAAATGATTAAGTTATAAAGTGTATGTTAATCTCCGAAAGCAGAAGTTTCAAGACCTAACTGTTTAAATGTGCCATTTTACTTTTCTTAGAATTTAGTGGAAATAACTAAATGACAACTTTTTATAACAGGTTTAAAAAATTTAAAACACTTCATGAATATTCTTTTAAAGGCTTGGCATCTATATTCCCTGGTTCCAAGCTGTGTATGCCACATTTCATGGATTCCTGATTGCAAATGATATCTGAAGAGCGAGTATGTAATCAGTTGACCATGGTACTGTCCCACCCCACACATGATAGATGCTTGTTCTAAGTCATAATGTGAGATGTCTCCTCACCTCAGCATTTATTTTATTAATTTAATAGAAAATTAATAAATGGCAAATGGGCTTGCCATCTTTAAAAAAGATGCAGAGCTAACAAAAGAAGTGGTTCAACTCTGAAATGTGTGGTGTGAAATTATATAAAAGAGAGAGTATAAAGAAAAAAGGACAGGGAGTTAGGAGAGGAGTGTTGGAGGTTTTGGGAGAGGTTGGAAGTAGCGAGGGATGAATATGATCAAAATATACTGTATACATGTATGAAATTCTCTAAGAATCAATAAGAAAATAGAGAAAGGCGATCATTCCAAGCTCAAGTCATTCAACCCATTTCCTAAACTATTCCAATGAAGCGATCTATGCTCATCTACCAGTGTGGTTCTTTTGGAAGCTAGAAAGCTAATGTATCAGAACATGTCTGTCCACACTTGAATCATAAATGGGAATAGAGAAACCAAGTTTATAAGACTTTACCTAGGAAGAAAACTTTCTAGCTCCCCCTTGTGGTTATTAAAGTTATTGAGGGATAAATGCCACTGACACTTTTTTTAGGGGCGGTGGGGGAGGAGTAATTTTTTGGCTTTTTAAGACAGGGTCTCGCTATGTAGACCAGGCTGATCTCAAACTTCTGCCAGTCTTCCAGTCTTTACCTCAAAAGTGCTTGAGATTACAGATGTGTGCCACTAGCCTTGTTAACACCATTCATAATGGAGCTAGACATTTGGAATGTTTCTTATAAAGGACAGTTGTAGCTGATGAATACACTTCATGTTATATAAATGAATGAACAGGGTACTCCATAGGCATAAACTCAAAATCAAAGAAAAGAATAATGCAACCATAAAAAATAGTTTAATGATATTGCACACAATATTGACTTTGAATGCATAAGTCAGATAATATTAATATACAATTTCATCTGTAAAGTATTACCCAGTATCAATCACAACCTCTTAACTTAGTGTGAATTTAATTTAAGGAGCCACATAGTAATGGAAGAGTTGTCCTGGGATCAAACATCTTCTGATGACATTAACCTAAGAAAGGAGTTCTTAAAAGGCAGACATAGTTTACAAGCATAATGTGTGAGCAGGTCACCTTGATCTGGTTGATCTGCATGTCCATGGCAGATGGTGAAGTTTCCAAGGCATTGAGTTCATTTTCTTTCTCTGTTATCCAGGCAGACAGGGTCTCAAAATTACTGCCAAAATGATCCCACTTGATTTTCACCATTTCCATGGTTTTAATACTAAAATTAACCAAATTAAGTTAAAAATGCAATATTTTCATAGAGAATAGCAACAAATTTCTCCACATACATCATCAGGTGAAAGGGTAATGAAGTCATTTGTGATTATTTCAAAGTGGAAACTATTTGAGCAGAAACAAAACACGTACTTGACCTGAGTTATGCATGTGACCTCAGCCTTCCTGTCTCTTCCAGGAATGGGCATTGGACAAGGCAGTGTATATGCCACATTATGAATGGACTTGCACTTCAAATGAAGTCATGCTAGCTACAAAGGGTCCGAGTCATGTACAGTCGAGCTCTGCACGTGACCAACAGTCATCAGGACTTACAATAATGAACTCTTCCAGAATAATTTGCTTTTAGCATTTGATAATCTGGCTTTCTAGGAGTGGTGCTATTGTAAGGATTTCTGGTGAAATACTTTTGTAAAGTGTATGCTCATGAATCAAGGTAAGAGTTTGTGGTCTGAACCACATGTTGCAGAGTGACAGCTGCTCCAATCAATACTGCTAAACCTTTGATTTATAATCTATAATGATCTCAACTATTCACAGATCTCCTGTAGTCCAAAAACTGTTATAAATTGTTTTTCATGAGCCCCTGTTTCAGACAACTTAGGCTCTCTGTGTAACTAGCCTAGTGAGCAGAATTTCAACTATAGATTCTCAGTTGGTATTAGCTACGCATATATAAACAGGTGGACATGGCTTTCAGTTTAGAAAGAAACTAGGAAACTAACATGTTAGCACTGAGTTGACTGGAGTCCTTGGATAAAAGAAAAGTAACAGAATGTCCCTGTTTACCAAAAGGCACTTGATATCAAGATGAATATAATGGCATCAATTGATTGTCAAATTCAATAGCATTATAGTCTCAAATCGGTATCATAGGTAAGTCTAATGCACTTAGCAATAAAAGAAACATAAACACCATCTATTTTATATGGCAGGATTTTAAATCAAATTAAGGTTCAAATGGGGAGTCCAGTCCATTAGAAATGGCTTATTTTCTAATATGCTTTGAGCTTTGTTATTTACATAGCTTAATGGAGAATATTTAATATAAAATTCTCAAGATTTGAACTCAGAATTTGTTTCAAATAAGATTTTATCAAAACTTACAGTTTAGGCAAATGTAAATGTTCATTACAAGGTCCAAAGAGTACTAAAAACAATTTTTTTCCAAATCTGTCATGTAAGTGTGGTCCTATTTTTAAGAGTCATAGGCTATATATTAGATGGATCACTAAGTTAAAAATGCTAGCCGTGTTAATTTGGAGATTATCGAGCAGGATATCAGAAGTTTATCTCCTTCAAATCCTCTATATAAAAGCCTAGCATAAGGCCAAAAGGTCACTTTTTCTTTTTCAGATAAATGTTAAATATTTAAAAAATAAAATAGACTTTTAAGGTAATTCTGGAAATGGCATATGAATCAGTGGTAATTTGACCACTGGGGCACTATTGAATAAGCTTATGAGCTTTGAGTTGGCAGTATTTATTGTGCCTGATGTGTGCTTCGGTCTGGTAGCTCTGCCTTCAAAGTTCCTCCCTTCCATCTAACAGGTAACAGCAGAACAAAATAGTAAAAAGACAAATATGGGTTATTTTTTTAGATTTCTCCTGCATTGTACGAAGGCCACATAATTCAATAGCTATGGCTTACTCATGAAAATAAAGATTCAAATACCACATCCCTCCTATACTTTTGTTGTTATAGATATTGGTTCCTAGGATGAAGATGTATTTTCTTTTGAATTGTGAGTTGCTTCCTCAAGGCAAGTTGAAATGTACAGACACTTAGGAGTTTTCAAAGACTGTTTTGAATACAAGACACACGAGAGCCTGCATGAAATTCCTGTCAGAGGAAGAAACTTAGGACGTGTGAGGCACGTACTCTTCTTCAAGCGTGCCTTCTAATTTTTTGACCTGCTGTTTGATTGACTTGGCCTGCTGCTGAAGCAGCTTCTTATTCCTGGGCCCCAGTGGAATCTTTGATGCTTCCTTCACGAGGTTTGCAGCCTGGGTTGCGATGCTTTCTGTCCTCTTAGAAAACTCCTAGAGGAAAAATAAACGTCATAGCTGTTAGGTGGGTGTTCTGAACCCTCGAACTCTGACCTCAGGCCAACTGCATATTCTGTATAGATGGACAGACAGATGCACTAGACAGCTTCATATGTTCTTCACAGTACAATGGCTCATGTGCTGATGGCTGATTTGGATGTTTTACTAAAGTATTTTTAGTTTATATGCAGAGCCAGTCATCTATCTCCATGGTTACCTAGAATTCTCATAGAAATGGATTTTCTACTCTTTCCTGATTTGGGCTTCTCATTTTGAATTCTAAGCTAGTTATAATCATTAACTTATTCTCAAATATGTTACTTTACTACAGGCCAGTTCACAAAATGACCAGTAGTGACTGATTCTTTAAACATGGAGACAACCGATTTCTAGGCCAACCAATAGAGTTTATTTAATAGAAGAATATCTTAGCCAAGACAGAGTACCAGTGATTTTTTTTTCCCAGAATACCAGTTTATTTTTCTCTGTAGGAAGAATTTATTAGTTCTCCAGGATGAGCTCTAGTCCATTCCTAATGCTGTTAAATCTTATTTTATTTATATGCATAGACAACATGATAGAAAGAAGCTGATGTCTTGTGATTTGAGACAGGGTCTCATGTAACCAAGGCAGGCCTTGAACTTGCAAATGAACTTCTGATCTTCCAGCCTCCACCTCTAAAGTGCTGAGATTGCAGGTACTACCACAGCAGATTTGTACAGTGCTAGGGAATCTAGCCCAGGGCTTCACGTGTACTAGATGAGTACACTATCCACCGAGATGCATCGGCAACCCTAGCAAACCCAAGTTTGGGACCAGTCAAACCTGAGTCATTAATTTCCCTACTTTGGTGAATTATTTTTCATGCTCTTCTTGTAAAATGCACAGGATCATATTTTTTTTCTGGGAACAGGACTCAGAATTCCACCGCCAAACTCATTTTCGAGTGCCTTACACCTTGGCAGGTACCAATTATCATTTCATGTCTTTCATACTGAGGAAACCTAATTTATTCTACCTGCTGATTTTCAACAGTTCTGAGCTACTTTAATTCAAAAGTTTTAAATTTGTATGAGGCACTGGTACATTTTAGATACTATCTCAATTTTGTCAGGTAAATAATGTTGAATATTAAGTTAGAAATGATAAACAGTGATCACCTTGAATGAAGAAAATTACTATCTTATTTCTTCTCGTGTAAGAAAATCTGACAAGAGGTTTAAATATTCATCAGCTTCTCTTTTCTAAATAGGCTGTGCATAACTGCTATGTAAATATTTGTAAAAAGTCAGCCTGTCACTCAAAGCATCTCTCAAAATTATTCTCCAATACCATACAAAATGACTGTGTTCCAGGGATCATTTTTATAGTTCATTATAATACCATAGATAAGATAAAATTAGAATATAACATTATTGTAGCTTCCTGTTTGAAAGACATAATATCCTCAAGAAATATCAGTGTCACTTCAGAGAAGTCACCTATAATTCAAGAGAATAAAATTAAGCAGAACTTTCTTATAGTAGAGAATTTCTATTCTAAACTATGATACTTGTTAATGCCATAACATTAAAGTCTTCACTTAAAACAACCCTATGACCACAGGTGAACTTACATATTTTATTGATTCATGTTTGAAAACCACAAATCTCAGCGTAATCGCCCGGAATCCCATGAATACACTCAGAGGTATAAAATAGTGTTGCCCCAACCCCATGTCTTCCAGAGACAAAGAGAAATCCATTTTTGAAAATGCTTATATTTGTTCTTAGCATGTTTTATCTGATCTCTACCCAGGAAAAGTGCAATACAGAGGCAATCAAAGAACAGAATGAGGTTGGTGAAAACAATTTAAGCAAAAATAGAGCAACACATAAGGCTTTACTGCCAAGTTCAGAGAAAATGTGAGGACAGAATTGACTCATCAGAGTTGAAGGGCTCTGCCCTTCAGTAGCTGAACAATTTTGAATCCCATTTTTCAGAATATTCACTTTCCCACCAGCAAAGCCATATCCGTCCCAAAGACTGAAAATGACCTTCCATTCACACCATACAGGCACACGGAGGGAGCCCAAGTCCCTTAGTGCAGCCACCGGTGGGCTGTCAAATGGAATCTAATGTAAGGCAAGCGAAGAGGTCAAGGACAGCCAGGATTATAAATGACACTTGCCTGTGTGGCGGTGCTCACAAGTACTTAGTAAAGTTGCTTGCAAAGCTGCTCAAGGTTTGAGTGAAAATGTAACATCAGGGCTTGTAGTGTGAACTCTGCATGGAAATCCTTAGGGTTTAAATTGCATTGTTTCTCTACTATTTAGGAATCCAGAGATGCAGGACAAGTTTAGCAGTAACTTTGTACTTTGTACACCCTTGTCAATAAACAGGATTAATCATGATAGCTACAGGATGATTTTGAGGGTTGAAAAAGATGATAACCAATAGTGATGACATAGTATATACTCAGGAAATGTCTGTTCATATTATTAAATCACTTTCAATGTGTTGAGGATAGTGGGCTAAGGAGAATTTTGATAAGACTAAAAACAATGCATCTGATCCATATGCAGGCAGTTAACTGTTCAAAGGAGTTGTTACAGATAGAGTCCTACGGCATCAGAAACTTTGGATGGAACATGGGTGGAGACACATAGGAAAATTCACCCCAAAACTTGTTTGCATCATAAAAGACATTGCTGCATTTTCATACACAAAATCATTAAAATTAAAATTATTTTCTATTTAAATGGTTGATGAAAACTGTACATAAGTCTAAGAGTCTCTGATCTTATACAAATTGAAACTCAGGGACTGGAGAGTTGGTTCAGTGGTTAAGAGCACTGGCTGCTCTTGCAGAGAACCTGGGTTCAGTTCCCAGCACCCACATGGTGGCTAACAACTGTCCATAACTCCAGTGCTAGGGGATCCAATGCCATCTTCTGACCTCTACGGGCACTGCACAACATGGGTGCACTCACATACATGCAGGTAACACACACACACACACACAGAGCACACAATTTTAAAAAAACAAACTCAGTAAATTACTAACATAACTCACATACATGCAGGTAACACACACACACACACACACACACACACACACAGAGCACATAATTTAAAAAAAACAAACTCAGTAAATTACTAATAGGGGAAATAGCAAAAAATTATGAGTATTGGATCAGACATGCATAGAGACAGGAGACAGGTATGGGCATGGACTAGTCTCTTATCCACTGGTTGGCCTATTTCTGTACTAATTTAGCCAGTCAACCCCAGACAGGCACGGCAGCGACCGAAGGAGCCCAAACAACTCCTCTAAAGGTTTCACATAATTTACCTGACTGTTCCAAGAGCTCACAGGGCTGAGCTCACCCAACACAGTGGTAAGTTCTGCCTCTCTGGTGTGCAGATGGAGCCCCGCGCTCACTGTGCTTGGAGCTGAGTACAGCTATTCTATTGAGCAGCTATTCTATTCTGTCTCTTAGGATGCATATTCTCTCCTTTTACTGCCTCTTCAGGTAGTTGTCCTTAGTGTCAACTCGACCTTATTTCTGGTACCTGTCCTCATGCACCGAGGGCTACGCCACCACCTTTCTTCAATGTGCAAATAGCTGGATGTGATGGTGCACACCTTTAATCCTAGCACTCGGGAGGCAGAGGCAGGCAGATCACTGTGAGATTGAGTCCTGTCTGGTCTATGCAGAGAGTTTCAGGCCAGCTGTGGCCATAGGGAGAACCTGTCTCAAAAAGCTCCCCACCCCAAAAAAATAATAAGAATTGATTAATGTACAACAATAATTAATTATTAATGGAGGAAAATAATTTTCTTTTTTGAAAGAGAATCAAGGAACCATTTGACTTTAATATACCTTTGTCTGTTCCAGTTCTGAAGATAAGCTTTCCAAACTGCTAAAACTCAGGAAGCGTTCATGGCTGGAACCTGTTTGGAAAAGGTATCTGACTACCGTCTCTTTGTTTGTCTCAAATCGCTCCCATTTCCTCAAGCTGACCTAAATTAAAAACATAAGTAAAGAAACAACACATCATGTTACAAATTACCAGAGCACAGGAAAAAAGACCGCTGCATTGTCACTCATCTCCTAAGCTGTCAACCACAGTAAACTCAGTGTGGAGTTCACACAGCAGCACTGACTCAAGACTATCCCAGTGTCTTCTGTAGAATTTCCTTTCCAGGTCTTAGTGCCTCCATCTATGCAGAACCATATGCGGACCAAATGACTTCTGAGTTCCTCGGCAGTTGTAAAGTCTTGTACATCTAAAGATGTCGCTAAAAACGTAGATAAGTGATACAGGAAAAGAATAGTTTTTCTATCTCTGTCAAAAAAAAAAAAGAGAGAAAGGAAAGGACAAAGGTTGGGGAGAAAGGGAGACAAGTAGCAAAAACTCAAAATCAATGATTAGGGTGATGTGTCAACAGTACTATCAAATACAGGATAGCCTAAAGGTACAGGTGCTAGATTTCCTGGAAATGTTAAATGCTATGACCAGATTCAAAGACTCAGACAAGTGTGGTTATATCCTGCTTCTTCATGGAACTGCTCTGTGACATGAGGACAGTTCTTAAGCTATCTTAAGCATTGCTGTGATTTGAATATGGACTATGAAATGTCTCCCATAGGCTCATGTGTTTGAACATCTGGTCTCTCCTGGTGGTAATGCTTGGGAAGACTGTGGCAACTTAGGATGATGAGCCCTGCTAAGGAAGTGGGTCATTAGGGGTGGGCCTTGCAGTTTGATAGTTAATCGCAACTTCCTGTTCATTCTCTATTTCCTGACTGTGGATGAATGTGACCAGCCAGCCTCTGGCTTCTGCTGCCTTTCCTACCATGATGAATGTATCCTCTTGAACTGTAAGCCAGAATTGACCCGTCTTTCCTTAAATTGCTTCTTGTCAGACATTTGGTAACAGCAATGAGAAAAAGCAATTAGTTCAAACATCCCGATGTGAAAAATGTGCTGGTTACAAGACTCACCTTAATATGCAAGACTTCTGAGATGATTTAAAGAAGCAGTTCATGTAATCTACTTAACAAAATGCAAGACTGTTACTAATGCAGGTGAACACTGGCTCCTGCTGGAGGCAGGAAGTCAGCTCAGACCAGCCTCCACTGAGTTAGCCCCTGATCGCCCAGCTGTACCTGAATGCGGCGTTCCTGCCTCTCCCTGCTCTGCTCCAGGCCTGTAAGAGTGCTCTCTAACTTCCGCAGCTCCTCTTGGCCAGGGTCAGCCTGCCCTGCAGCTCCCTGCTGGGCCTGCTCCATCTGCTGTTGCAGGTCTCTCTTCTTTGCTGAGATCATCTTTGTCGTTTGCTGGAAGCAGTTGTGCAACAGATACATGTACACTTTATTCTCTATATAGCAGGGCTGCAGTGATCCCCCACTAACAAAGGTATGACAGGCAAAATTTCATGCCATATGGGCTTGAACAGTGTTTTAAAGTAGAGGTTGTAACAATAATAACAGGAAACTTGTATTAATCAAAGGTGGACATTACTTAGGTATAGCTTATGTTCTAAATGGGAAAACGTAAGGAATTTGACTTTAATGTTTCAGTCACATGTGGGTTTGGAGAACATTTCACATTCTGTGTAATGCTCCCAAAAGAATTTAGCAAAATAGCCCATTTGACATGCTTCTTCTTAAATAATTGTTTTCTGTTTAAAAACTCAAAGTCCCAACTCTGGTTTTATCATCTGAGCTGTAAAAATGCAAATAATATGAGATTTCTACATGGGTATATTTTGAGTGGTTAATATACTGAGATATTTTGGAGAAAGTTGTTTAAAAGAAAAAAATGTAAATGAAGTATAATTTTCAGGCAGAACAGTGCGCAGATTTCAAGTGATTAGCTTACGTATCTTTACAATGCAGGCACACCTAAACAAGCATCTGTTCAGAGCAGCATGATAAGTTTAAAATAATATGAATACCAAGAACCAGACTTTTTTTTACTTCAATGGAACCCTGATAAATTTTCCAATGATTGACAGGAATGTACAGAAAACATGAATTCCTTAAACTCCATAAAACCTGGAGGCTACTGTTTCACAGATACTTTAAAGGTAATTTACATTTTTGTTTTTGATATATAAAATTAGCATTTCTGTATTAAATTAGCCATAATTTTGTCATTAAATATTTTATTTGAATCATATTTTTAATTGTGTTGAGTTTGACAAAGTATATTCCATTTGTGCATATATCTTAATGTCCACAACTAGGCTAGCAGGAAGTAAGTTGATTAAAATAGTTTATCATTAAGGAATGGGGACATAATTCAGTGATAGAGTTGTAGTTTAGATTTGAGGGTCTGGGTTCAATCTCTAACATACAAGAAGGTTGATTATGAATATGTATTATAATCGTTTTACTCCTAATTCTAATCTTTTCTAAAATGATGCTCATTGAAACGTGTCATTTCAAGTAAGTGATAGTTTCCCAAGCTAAAATGCCTAGGAATTTGTCTTGCAGGGTACTCTGAAATAGTTAATGTTTACCGTAGAGAACAGAAAACAGAGTTCCCAGGTGCTCTGAACCATTCAGCCAGGTACCATTCTTCATCTCTTTCTGAATCCCTCAGCCTGAGGACCTGTTCATCTTTAATCAACGTCACACAAGTACCTGGTGATGAAGGAGTAACTGCTGTGCTTCAAACAGATTCTCTGTGTCCAGGATCTTCTCGGCCTCCTCCTGGCTTTCTTGGGAGCCAGACATTAACTCCTCAAGGGAACTTTTCACTATTTCTTTGTACTGAACGCATTCTCCAAAGTTGCTTAATATCTTTTCAACCTAAATTTTCATGGGAAAAAAATTAAAACATATGCGACTTAGCCAAGTTCATGGAATCTCTTTTTAAATGGAGATGAGACTGACAAATTAGCATTGTGTAGATCCAAGGTGTGCAGTAAGATGCTTTTATACACATGCATTATGAAATGCCTAAATACTCGTTAATTAGTCCTTCCACCACCTCACACACCTTTTCTTTGTAGGTGCACATGAGGTTTATTGTCTTAACCAATCTCCTGTATATGAAATAGTTTAGTTTACCATGCTGTCCGTTACCTCTCTAGAACTTACACCTTAGAAATTTGTCCCCTGAAATATTACATATTTTAAGTGCATGCATAAAGTGTGTGTCAATAGCTGAAAAATAGATTCTGAGATCTCCAACTTTTATTCTTTCACATCATTTTAAATCTTAACTGTTATTCACTGGCATAGCCCCTTAGGGGAATTTCAAACTCCATATCATGTGGCTAGCGTTCTGTTCTACAGTAAAAAGGTATTCTAAAAATAAGAAAAGAAAAAAGAAACCTATGTGACTTGACAGTCAAGGTAGGGTAACAAAATGGTATTTATTGTATATACTATCTCCTGAGGTCCCTTGATTATAATCTCATGACTAATATCTAGTTATCATAGCACCTTATACAAAAAGTTGAGTACATACTATTCAAAAAATACGGGGGAAATTGAGAAGAATAAAAAAGCATTTGTTGAAGATATTCTTCCAATACGAATGTGCTCAGTGGTATATCCCTGGCTTAGCATGCACAAGGACCTGGGGATTTGATCCCCAGCCTCACATACAAAAAAAAAAAAAAAAAAAAAAAAAATCAGAGACCAGGCATGGTGGTACATGCCTTTAGTCTCAGCACTTGGGAGGCACTGGCAAGCGAATCTCCATGAGTTTGAAGCCAGCCTGGTCTACTTAGTGAGTTCCAGGCCAGCTGGGGCTACAGGGAGACCCTATCAGTGTAATTCTTAAACTTGTAGTCCTTTGGTGGATCTTCCTCCTCATCATCATCATTTTCTTAAATTTTCAGTCAGTCTTTTCTTCTGGCTTTTGCTTTCTCTATTTTAGTTCCATCAGTAACTTCCATTGTCTCCGTCTTCATTGAGAGAATCAATTTTGTATTTTACCATCAGTTGTCTTCCATGTAACCTGATCTGTGTTTGTCCAATGTAACTCAGAGCGTGTTGTTCTCCAAATACCCAGCAGTGAAAACCTGAAAGAATCCCAAACCCCAGATCTGTACAAAGCTTCAGGTCTGTTGACATAAGTAACCGTTCTGTAGATTCTACACTTGCCCACAGGCTTGTTTCTTTTTTCCTTCTGTATTCTTTTCATTCGTTTCTTTCTTTTCATTTTTCCCTTTCTTTCCCCCGTTTACTCCTTTGTTACACTGCGTAATTGCCAAAATTCTGTGTTCATCATTAATGTAAATATTAAATAGATTATCATCAAATGGGACAGACTGTGCCCAATCCACTTGCTACTATAATTTGTATTTAGACAGAATATGTTTTTCTATATTCACCTTTTTGTGTTTTTACTAAATGATTAAATAGCAAAATATGGTACTAGTACAAATTACACAATACTTTAAAATACATGAGTATGTGAAGAGGTAATGTCGGAATAAACATGTAGTAGATGAGACCGTATCTACAAGTCCCATGGGAAACATTATAAGAATACATGAAGGATAATGAAGTTATGAACTATCAACTAATAATTATAAGGTTGCCAAAGATGTATTTGATGGTTAAAAATACACTACGCATTTATCTAATGGTGTGACTAAGACTGTTGGATCTTGGTTCAACGATCACCTGCACACATACTACGTTTTGAGAATGTTACACTCACTTTTACTTTACCCATCTTCACTAAGGTAGAAGAACCAACATCAGATTTTCATCTAAAGTACGGTAATGGTAATTAAATATATTTCACTATTGCCGTAAGAGACAATCAAAGGACTGAAATAAGTCATAAGCTGGGAGCGGTATGCCTACAATCCCAGCATTCAAGATGCTGAGTCAAGAGGATTGTCATGAGCATGAGGCCAATCTGGGCTAAATAGCGAATTCTACGACAGCCTGGGCTACATACACAGTGAGACCATTTCAAACAAAATAAAATAAAATGAAAAACCCCAAAACCAAACAAAAAAGAAATAGCTTTTTATGTTCTATAAATTGATTAATCATATCACTATTTTTAATTTGTCCAAATTTCTTAACTAATTTGCCTCTCAAAATTATTACATAAAACTAAAACCACAGCAGTTCAGGGGTTTTTATAAAGTCAATCCCACAGTCACAAGGGTTCCATAGACATGGGTTAATATTGTAAAAGCGAACGGGCAAATTGTCGGTTAGGGACTTTTGTTGAAGATTCCTGATCTTCAGAATCAGAGAGTTCTGTGGGTATTTTGTAATCTTCTGTTTTCTATGACATTTTTACTTCAACAGTGTCAGACGGCACTGGTAAATACTGATTTGACTTTTCCTTTTCACACCGTCTCCCCCCTCACAAATTCATAGCATTAAACACCTATTTGCCTTCTTAAGCTTTGTGGGAGGGAGCCCACAAATCAGAGTGGAAGAAGCCCTACTAGACATGAAGTTTGAACATTTTAATCTAAAAGAAATATAGAAAACAAAACAAAACCATCAGGATGCGTATTAAGAAGTTTAGAATGAGTAGGCCTTAGCTAAAATGGAATTTTTCTGGTCTTCTGACTAACCTTTGAATTTTTTATTATTAATACGGGTTACCAGCTAGTGAACATTTAACTCTTAAATCTAAACACTACCACCAGCTTCATCTCCAATACTGCATTGAATCTTTGTGATGCCCTTTTAGTGTATTTTAAACCTTTTTTTGACAAGTAAGGCAATTAGGGCTTACAGACAGTGACAAATAAACTGAAGATTATACAGAAGTAGGCTACAAATTTAACTTCTGGCCGAGTTCCTCTGACTTTCAAGTATCTCCCCTCCCCTCCCTCCTCCTCTCCCTTTCCCTCCCTTACCCTCCCCTCCTTCTCTCTCTCTCTTTCTAGATAGGATCTTACTTATGTAGCCCAGGCTGGCCTTAAACTTGCTATGTAGATTATGTTGGTCTTGAACTTCAAATTCTCCTGCCTCTGCCTCTCAAGTGCTGGGATCGCAGGGGTGTTATCACCAAACTGGGCTTCTCAGACTGTTTTCCTAAACTTTGTGGCATGCCTTTAAGTGACCATGAAACAACAATGTTCTTTTTTTTTTTTTTTTTTTTTTGTCTTTTTTGTATTTTGAGACCAGGTCTCCCTGTAGCCCCAGCTGGCTTGGAACTCACTATGTTGACCAGGCTGACCTCAACTCAGAAAAATCCACCTGCCTCTGACTTCCAAGTGTTGGAATTAAAAGCTTGCACCACCATGCCTGACACAAGGCTTTTATTTTTTAGTAAGAGCAAAAACCAATGCAGACCAATCAGCTTTGGACTTCAGATTAAGGTCATTAATGCGAACTAACCCATCCAACAGGTCATTAATGCGAACTAACCCATAAAATAATACTGTCCTGTCCATAACTCAAGCATTATACTCATCTTTCCTAATAATCTTCTTATAAATAACTAATGTTTAAGATGCTGTTTATTTATAAAACTACTTGATAAACTAAAAAAATAAGAAAGCCCTGCAGATTCCTCCCGCAGAACTGTGCTTGGAGCATAGTGAATGACATACCTCTGACAGCAGAGCCAGCAGAGCCTTGAAAGAGCTGGATAGTTCCGCCAGCTCATCTCCTCGCTTTTGGGATTCATTCTCAGAAGAAACTTCAATCAAAATTTTAAGCCTAGATTTCAGCCAGCTAAGAGTCTCGCCTTTTTTGGTAACATCATTTCTGATCTCCTGGAATGAAACAACACTTTGTTTTAAATTTATTTTAATTTTTAATTTTTAATTTTTAGATACAAGGTCTTCCTGTAGCCCCAGCTGGCCTGGAACTCACTACATGAGACCAGGCTGGCCTCCATTTCACAGGGATTCATGGGCCTCTGCCTCCCAAGTACTGGGATTAAAGGTGAGTGCCACTGTGCCCAGCTAAATTTATTTATTTTTATTGCATGTGTATGAGTGTTTTGCCTGCATATATGCAAATGTACCACATGCATGCAATGCCCACAGAAATCAGGAGAGGGCATCAGATCCCTTGGAACTAGAGTCACAGATGGAGGTTAGCTGCCATGTGGGTACTGGGAACTGAATCTGGGTCCTCTGTGAGAGCAGTCAGTGCTCTTAAATATTGAGCTATCCCTCCAGCCCTGAAAGAACACTCTATTAACAAAAGCCATTGTAAATCACAACTTTCCAGCAAGAAAGAACTCAAGCAGAGAGGGTCTTTAAAGCAGATGTAAAAGAAGTAGGCATTCATTAGCTGTGGAGGGCCTGCTCTTGCTGTACTTTGTACACATCTTGAGCAAAGGTCTACAGGTGCCAACAGAAGGGCTTCCCAATGCCACAATCTAACAGGCAGAGCCAACAATGTGCACACTTAAATCACCTTCAGAATTAGATAAGCTGTATATTTACATTTACAGCAAACATGCTTCTAACAGTATTATATAAAAATATAAAATAAGTCCTGTTCAGGTGCTTGCTTCTGGGGTTGAGAGATAGGGCTCAGTGGTTAAGAGCACTGGCTGCTCTTGCAGAGGGCTTGGGTTTGAGACCCAGCCCCCACATGGAGGCTAACAACCGTCAATAGCTCCAGTTCCAGGGGATCCAATGCCTTCTTCTGACCTCCATGGACATTGCATGCATGTCGTGCTTACATACATGTAGGTGCTTACATACAGATGCACTTACATACATGCAGGCAATATATTCATACACATAAAAATAAATATTTTTTAAAAATACAAAATACCCAAATTGGAATTTATAACATATGTGATATATGCATGTATGTAACAAATTATGATATTTAGGATCTATAATACACACACATATACCATATGCTATCTGATTTCCTATTAATTGGAAGGATATTTTTGGAGAAAAGAATGATAGTCCCTTTTATTGGCTTTAAAATTAACTTATTGGTGGATTTTGTTGAAGAGTTTGTTGAATGTTTTCATAGATCTCGTAGAGATTTATTTTAATTCAACTTAAAGTTTGTGTCTCGTGTTTATTAGCTTTTAGAAGTCAATGTCCCCTATATTAAGACACACACATAGGATCAAAGCTTTAACTCAGCAGGGAATGTTCACTAGTCAGGCAGTGCTGGAAAGACTTCAGGAACTCAGGCCTCCAGGACTAACAACAGAGGCATGATGATGGTCCCTCCTGCACTAGCTATAGATGGCCTAGGAAAGGGGCTTCCATCCAAAGGGCTGTCCCAGAACTTTTGCAGGGCAAATGAATGCCAAAAAAGAATCACCTGACTTCAGAACCAGCTGGTTTCCACATTGTAAGATATCTTTAAAAAGCAGCCGGTAGAAAAGTCTATCTTTCTGTATGCACACAATGATATTACTGAGCCCACTAACACCTCAGGCAACTATATAATTTACTCAGAATAAAAGGACTGCAGAAGGGCAGGAACAGAAAGGCAATGCATTCTTTTTCATAGTGACCTGCAAGGGTTAGAAACATTGAAGGAATTTTCACCATAGTCTGTCTATAAGATGGAGGTGTCAGTAATAAAAAGGGGCCATCCTGAATGCTTGTCACAGACTATACAGTGTGTTCGAGCCTGGAGCTCTGTTACCCTGGCTGGGTTTGCCTCTCCAAACAGCTGAAATGAAGCAGTCCGACCTGATTACAACAGAAGACAGTTGCTCAGAGAATATTTCCTTCTTTCCTTGTGTCTTCAGGTTTATAAGGTTGAAACTACACTGTACAGAAGCACGCAATGCTCTTGTTTCCTGCGGCAAGTCTTAAATCTCTGCTGTGTTTTACAAGCAGCTTCCAAGTCCAGCATCCCCATTAGCAAAAGCTGCATTAAAGGCATCGCTGAGCATGGTTAAATCTCAAAGCTATCAACAACTCCACAGAGGCGAAAAAACTCCCAAAACCTAAGGCTCACCACAGTACTACAAGAAACTTGCCTTTAAAGAAATGTTCAGAAACCTATGATACTTTACAGAGAACAAAAAAGACAGCAGTTACATTAGCTAGTGGTTTCTTTTAATTATTGGAAATTTCCCACTAGCCAGCAATGGTTCAACACTTACATCTACAGCACGCTTAACCTCGCCATGGTTGGCAGTGTCGATGATCTCATCCTTGATGGCCTTCAACTGTACCTCCTTTGCAGATATCCAAGATGAGAACTCGGCAAATCTGAAATCATGCAAGCATTTTCTTATGAAAGGGGCCACATCTCAAAATGGTTAGAAAACATCACCTAATTTGAATTCACTCATTGAAATGGAAATCAAATTGATTACATTTTCTGAAACATTAACATGTGTCATATCTAAGCTCAGTAACGTTAAGGGAGCTCAGTCAAGGTGACAAAAATGTGTCTCATGCCTGAATACCTGGGGTGGGGATGGGGAGGGGCCACTTGTAGTCTGGCTTCATATGTCCCCACCAGAGTAACACTGGCTAATAGAGCCCTCCTATGAAAAAGGGATATGGGAAAAGCAGGGAGGAAGGTATTAGCCAACCTCAGGAATTTCCAGGTTATTTTGAAATAGAGTCCCTCACCCAGCTTTGGACTGAAATTCAAATCTTTAAAAATAAGTGAAGCAGAGCTGGGCGTGGTGGCACACACCTTTAGTCTCAGCACTGGGGAGGCAGAGGAAGGTGGATCACTGTGCCTTTGAAGCCAGCCTGGTCTACATAGCGAGTTCCAGGCCAGCTGGGACTACAGGGAGGCCCTGTCTCAAAAAGACAATAAATAAACAAATAAACAAAGTAAACAAAGCACGTTTTTACAGAAGCATAGGCAGAATTGATCACGCAACTAAATTTTCCTTGTTGCGTGAAATGAAATACAGGCCATCTCCTGCTTTATAAAGATCTCTGAGCAAACACTGAAGATTGGCTAGACACTTCCTGGAGACCTCCGAGTACCTGCCGGCATAGTCCTTCCACTTGTCTGGGTCTTCCATGAGCTTCACGTAAGTGCTGTCAATGGAAGCATGGAGCTCTTTGAGAGCTGCGTGACAAGCTCCAGGTGTGTCCCTGATTGGGTCCCGGACTGGGAGTTTCACACACAATTCTTCAATGAGCTGTAACCTCTTCTCACAGAGATGATGAGGAGCCTTGTCACTGAAGAAAACCTAAGAAATAATAAATGTTTTCGCCATCTCTGTGAGAAGCCATGCAACAACTTTATATTTTTTGCTGAAAAACTAAGGACCGATTTCCTGAAGACATCAATGTGATTAAGATGTTTTTAAAAGACCATCATATCTTTTAACTATCTATGCACTTTACATGGTTATGTACTTGGTGTTTGGCACGTACTCTATGCTCCTTAATGATCTTCTCACTGCCTTCCTGGGGCACCAGCTTGGTTTCTCTGTCCAGCTCGGCTTTGCATTCTTCTACAGCGGCTGAGAATCTGTTCTTCTCCACAGCAATTTTCAGATGGAGCAGATGATAAGGGGCCTCTCCCTGCAGGTCCTGCATCCACAGAAGACCCAGAAAAACAGAATGATGCTTCTGACTAGGTCTGTCTCCCGTTGAGGTGCCAAAATGACCTAAAATATTCCTTTTTTGACATAGGGGCTTCCTATGTAGCTTTGGCTAGCCTGGAACTCACTGTGTAAACCAGGATAGCCTCAACCACACAGAGATCTACCAGTCTCTGTCTCCAGAATGCTGGGATTAAAGATACGTGCCACCTTTCCTAGTAAGTATTCCTCTTTTCTTCCAACTCCCAGAGTCCTCTCTACCTGTTACAGGTCAGGTGTTTTAAAAGTGATTATTCTATCTAATTTTCTCAATAGCTCCATACAAGATTAATGACTACTGAAGCTCTAGGGTTAGGGACAAAGCTGAGGTTTGAATCTAGATTTAAATCACATACTGATGCTGTGTCATTTTCCCACCATGGGGCCCCTGTGCTTTGTCAACCACCCTCACAAGGTGGAAGGGACAAATATTACATCCACTTCACTCAAGGAAACCATTTCTAGTACTCAGCCCCCAACACAGAGTTAAATAATCGAGAGCTGCTGACCACTTCCATATATTCTTTTCCTTAGAGAAATTAAGGAAACCGTCAAATAACGCACAGCATTTAAACATTCTTCTCCTTTGGTACAAGCATGGGATTCATGATTACTTTTAGTTCTATACTTCTTAATTTCTTCATTTAAAAATACTAGCTTTTAAGTAGATTATTAAGGTAATTGAAATGAAAATGAGGAGGGGCTATGGAAAGATTATGGCAGTTGATCCTGGTGAGATCCATGTGCATATTCGAGCAGTAAAATACAGCCTTCAATTGCAGCCTCTGTGATATGTTTGTGGTATGCTAAGCTTCAAAGACATCCCAGGAAACTTAGGTTGAAGAATGAATGAATGAATATATATTTAAATGGGACACTTAGAATTTCAGATTTAATAAGCAAAACAACCACCTTTTTTACTGTATTTTTCCCTTGCACAGGATGATGTTTTAGCCTGTGTTACTGAGACTTTAGAATTCAGAAACAAAATAACTGATAGAGAAAGCATTAGCTGCCAGTCATCTGGATCTCTAGACGCCTTCATACAACATGCAGGGAATCAGCTCCTCATGGCACCTTTGATCTGCATCTGAAGAAGCCTTCCCACTGACTGGGCAGCCCTGGGGAGTCTGTGTTGTTCCACCATGCCTCTAGGCACTGACAGGCCCATGGCAAAAAGGCTTCATGTCCCTAATTTTGCAGGGCTCCTCCATGGTACATGACTCTTGGGTCAGACTGAGCCTGACCCAGCCCCTGTGTTCCCCACTGTGCACCTGTGGCTTTCTCCTAGCTTTGGGGTGCCATCCTGCACCTCACCCTCAGCATTTCTGCTTTTTCCTTGAAATCTTAACTCATGACTGGGACCAGAGAAAGGGCTCAATGGTTAAGAGCACTGGCTGCTCTTGCAAAAGACCTAGGTTCAGTTCCCAGCACCCATATAGTGGCTAACAACCATCCAAACTCCAGTTCCTAATGCTCTCTTTTGGTCTCCATGGACATTGCACACATGTGGTTCACATACACACATGCAGGCAAAACACTCACACATATAAAATATAAAACAAGTCATGAGTGCATTCAGGCTTTTCCAATTTATTCTCTCATGTCTCTGCTTTCACAAAGAGAACACTGTGCATCTGGGGATTAATTTTTCACTATATTTTTATTATTTGTCACTAGTTGTTTTCTTTAACTGAATTCTAAACTCTCTAGGGGAAAAGGCTGAGGTTTGGTTCATCACTGGTTCCTTACCCATTAAATGCTTTCATTTGTATTTTTAGATAGCTAGATAGTAAAATCATTGAGCCTGGGTGTGTGTGTGTGTGTGTGTGTGTGTGTGTGTGTGTGTGTGTGATTTTAGTAGTATACCTAAGTCATATTTTTTATCTAAGAAAACTTCATTAAATGTTACTTGAACAAATTCATTGGTTTTGTCACACCTGTCATAAAATTAGGAAACAATGAGTTGTTAAGCAAAAGAATAAAACTTATACTGCTATAAAGAATGAATAACAAAATTCTGCTGTATCATGTTTCAAGTTTAAGTCATTTTTCAATGGGAAGGGTTGCTTTAGTGACTTCCCATGAATTTCTGAATTTTCTTAGCCTGGACTTGCACTTCCTCAGGCTCTTCCCCTTCACTAACTCTAGACAAGGCATTCTTTATTTTTATTTTATGTGTATGCGTGTATTGCCTGCATGTAGGTAAGTGCACCCGTGTTGTGCAGTGCCCGTGAAGGTCAGAAGAGGCTGTCGGATCCTCTGAGATTGGAGTTACGGACAGTTGTTAGCTGCCATGTGGGTGCTGGGATTCAAACCTGAGTCTTCTGCAAGAACAACCAGTGTTCTTAACCACTGAGCCATCTCTCCAGCCCCTGGACAAGGTATTCTTGCAGACCCTACTCACCTTCCACTGTTTATGTAGTTTCCTCACTGCCTCCTGCAGCCCCTGCTGCTCCTGCTCAGGGAGGATGTCAGTGAGCTCATCACAGGCTTTCAGAAATGCATTGAGGACCCTTTGATCCAGTTGGCTGAAGAATTCCTACCACAGAGAGGGACGGTGGTTATGGTACTGTGCAGAATAAATGAAGTCACAAACAGGATCACATCTCAGTAAGCCTGCGAGCCAGCAGCCACCTTCATCAAAACTGCCAGGCAGTGCCTGTTCTTGAATAAACTACAACCATCTACAATTATGAGTCAGAAGTCATCATGCCTGACATTTAATTACTGCTCTTTACATTTTAGGGAAAAATATTTTTGCAGTTCCCAAATTTGGTAGGGTATTCTGAAAAGCCACTGGAAGGTCCTAAAACCTTGATTCCATACTGACAGACCTTTGGTTCCTCTTTGGTAAAGTCAGAAGAACAAGGCAGGAGCTGGGACTCTATGCCTCACAGCCCTTACCTGCAACACACATCAGTTCTGAAGGTCGTTGTGAATCGTTACCACATTCCCATCGTGTATACTTGAACAGATGTGTTGTGGATAGAACTGTGTATCCTGCAAAAAGCTATGTCCTAAAACCCTAACCATGAATATGGTAGAATTTGGAGCTGGGGCCTTACAGGTTATTAGGTTTGGATGAGGTCATGAAGGTGGGACCGTCATGATACAATTAATGTTACAGGAAGAGATGCTGTAGGCAAGCTCTCTCTCCAGCGATATAACAACATGGAAAAAAGTATTCATCTGGAGGCCAGAAAGAGTCTTCACTGGAACCCCTCCACGATGTTAGGCTGATCTCTGACTAAAAGATTCTAGAACTGTGAGGAAAATCAATTTCTGCCATCAAAGCCACCAGGGTATTTTGTTATAGTAGTTCAAGCAGACAGAGACAATACACCTGCATACACACACTTTTTTGGCCTAGGTCTAGAAAACCGTGTCCCTAATCCATTGCATCATCTTTTGAGAGTGTGGTTTTGATACAAATGTCTCTTAAATTTCAGGAAAAATAATCAAAGTATATGTTCTCAGAATGTTGTCCCTTGTTCCACACCATTTATCCAGCACTGATATCCTCAATACTAATGTCATTTAAACAAGTAGGATGAGTATGCAGGTGATTTTACAATGTTAGCATTTCTGTGTACTATCTACTAGACTCCAAGCAGCTTGGTATCTATGCCATGACACAAGGGTTCATTAACTGATCTTGAAGGGTGTCGTCACTCATCAAAATCTATTTAAGAAAATATTTATCTATAAAACTTTCTGAGCTAAATAATGAATTAGTAATCTGAGAGCCTAAATTATCCTGGTTCTCCATGATCTTAGAGCCTCACATAAGTCAGCAAGCCAGTCACTGGTAGGGTTCTGTGCCTGCTGTTTCTGGGGTCTCCTATCCTCAAAATTCCTGCCTTCCTAAATTTCCTCTCCTCTGCATTAGATCAAATGGTCTTATTTGTTCTCCAAGATAGTTTGTCTACACTTGGTCAGGTGCTGCAATTGGGACAGACTCACAGTGTGTCTCTTAAGGAGTTCTTCAGGGTCTCCCTTCTCCTCCAGGCCCTCCTGAGCCACCCGGAGCACCTTCTCCAGCTCGGCCCGAGATTCCTCAAATTTCTTCATCAAGCGACTATTGGCTTCCACGTGCTTCTTCCAATCTCCAGTTTTCTTGATCATATCCTTAATGTAAAAATGATACCGTCATCCCTTGGTATCCTTGAATTGGATCCAGGACCCCCAAAGATATCAACATGCATATGATGAGTGTATCTTGTATGAAATGAAGCATTTGCATGTAACCTAGGCACAGTCTCCTGTATACTCTACTGACAAATCATCTCTGGATTACTTTTAAGAACACATTAAGAAATGTCAGATGAATATTTCTATTATTTAGGTAATTATGACAAGAAAAGGCAGTACATGACACACAGATGTACATTTAGTATAGATGTGAGTGTCTGCCTACTTGCAGCTGATAAAATCCACAGATGGGCAACCTGTATGGATTTGGAGGACTGATAGCGATCCTAATAGAAAGCTTTCTCAATTCTGAGGCATCATTTTGTCAAATGCAATATTACATTACCATCATCAACATCATCATCATTTGCTTTAAAAACACTTGGAAGGAAGACATTTCACTATGGTGAGAATATTTAACTTTTTCAATATTATTATCAGAAAAGAAATGATGGTTTTCAAATACTTTCAAATACCTGACGATGAGGTCTTTTAGTGATGATCACTTGTCTGTCCTCATTCTTTGTATTTTTCTGGACTCAAGTGTGAATCAGGGAGAAAAACTAACCTGGAAGGCATGATGCACGTCTGCAATCTGTCTTTGCAGTTTTGTCTGATCCCAGTGCCTTAACATGTGGCTCAGGGTCACAAGCTTCTGAACACTTTGACTGCCCTTCTCGATGAGTGTTAAGGATTTCTTACAGTTTTCTTGGTAAGCTATCAGTTCCTATCAGGAAAGGAGAGACACAACGATATGCTTTACACGCCAGCATGACAGGAAGGAGGGGAGAAGGAAGGAAGGGAGGGACTGTTATAAATGACATAGTAGAGCTCCCAGGCTTTTAATTAGTGATAAGTAAATTCAGAAGTGCAGAGGAACAGCACTTTCCAAAAGAACTTGATTTTAAGCAATCATTGAAGTCAGTGCTTTTTATATGAGGCATTTAAATGTCACAATGAGGCTTTTGACTTTTTATACTTCGTGCACATCTTAACATTAAGAAAATGACAGAGCCTAAAAACTGTTGTATAGTTTATACATAGTTCTGACGTGGTGATAGGTGGACCTATTTTTTTTTAAGAGAACAATTACAAAACAAATCTACATTTCAGCTCTTAATTAAACTAAGTGAATTTAACCCAGTGAGCAATTGCTTTAATGGATATAGCAGATTTTACATCAGCTGTGGATGCTGGATTACAGCATTTGGATCCCTATAGACAAGCCACGGGCCTTACTGAGATCCAATAAAGTAGGCAGCAGACTAGCAGACCTGTGGGAGACTTGTTCTTGTCACATTCTTCCTGATGACATGCTGCAGTGATGGACAGGCCCTGTCTCTCTGCCTCACAGCCTTACATTCTACCAACTTTGGCCATAGACAGAGTGGACACAGTCCAGCCCAGCTGGAGTTAGAGTGTCATTTCTGTCTTGAATGCGCATCACTTGTGCTTCCACATCTTCAAATATCTTGAAAAAAATATTCAAACCTGCTCACGTGGATGCATTTTTAGTGATCTAGATGCAGATATTAAAAGAAGGCCTTTTTTTGACAAAGGGCAGCTTTTCCTTTTGAACATTTGGAAGTTAAAAGGATAGAATTTGAAACTATATTATAAATATTAATATTAGTTATCAATAATCTAAATATGACTTTAATTATGGAAATAGTATTTAATCATATTTTGTGATGATTTAGGAAGGTAAGAATTGACACTATCCCTCAAAATGAATGAACCTTCATTCAATCTGGTGAGATGTCATTTAGAATAGAGTTTGCTGATATACTGATTGTGACTTCATTACTATATACTGTTAGAAATTACAGAATTCATAATATTAGATAAGACAGAGAGAGAGGGAGAGAGAGAAACATGGGACCTATACTGTTAGAAATTACAGAATTCATAATATTAGATAAGACAGAGAGAGAGAGGGAGAGAGAGAAACATGGGACCTATGCACGCTGTCACCATTGCTGTGAGTTCATGTGAGTAACTGACCAGCTGTCTGGAAAACTTACTGCCTTCTGATCATCCACCACCTCTGGCTCTTACAAACTTTTTGTCCCCTCCTCAGTAATGATCCCAGGGAACTTCTTAAGTCAGAATTCTGGAACTTGACCATCTCAACCTGATCCAACTTGACTGCCCCCTGAACATAGCTCAAACTGCTCCATAAAACACAAGGCAGATTTTCGTCTTGGGATAAGACAGACTTTGATTTCAGTTACCAGTATTCTACTATTCTGGGAAAATACCTTTTGCACTAATTGAATTTCTATTACTGTAAAGAACACTCCAACCTTATTATATATGACTTAAAATAATGTCTCTGAAAGGGTTTTTCTTACCTGGTGTTTTTGTTTGAAAAGAGCACTAGATTGTGCCTCATGCTCCAGAATGGATATAATCTCATTGATCTTCCCAAGAGAATCATAGAAGGATGTGATCTGCCTTTCCAGTTCCTCCAAAGGAATGGAGAGCTGTTGAGCCTCATACAAGAGTGGGGGGCAGCATTCCTTAACCTTTGAAAATGCAAAGGCAAAAATCCCATGAAAGGCCATAATGCACCCAAAGCTCCAGGCACTGTGATGGTTCTCAAAAACTCGTTTTCCATGACATGATCATTTAACCCTTACAATCCTCTAAAGATGACTCTTTTATGTTTGCTCTATGTTGTTAAATTTTGTTGTTTAAAAGAAACATGAAAGTACTATTCTGATGAGACAAAGAGCTGTGGAGTTTTCTCATGAAAATTCATCTAAGTTGTCCATCTGGATGGCACTTTCCCATGTAAATGGTTGTCGTCACTGAAGCAGATGGCACCACAGTCCTCTTCAAACACCTCACTCACTATTCATTTTCACTTTGGCATTGAAATTTGACCTGAGGAGTCACGAATTATTACCACATTGTCTAGAGGATGGATGGCTTCCAGCTTGATGTTCACGACCTCCCGATCAGAACCTTAGAGATCTGCTGACCACCTCTTCCTAGGTCCTCCTGTTTTTCCACCTCCCACCAGCCCTAAGCTTTGCTTCTCTGGCTTGTCAATGTTCTTCTCATGCCAAAGGCATACCACACACCAATTTATTCCCGTGGTTAGAAGGTTCCCATGGCAGAATATGTCACCCAACCTGAACTGCCCAGTTCTCATCTGTCTTTGCTTTAACGTCTGTACACCTTCATTATCTTCATGATGAGGCTCTAAATTTCTGGAGCTCGGGAGCTCTGTAAAGTGCCTACCTGACCAACTTTTTGTTGGATTTCAGGCTTTTATAAATTTTTAAGAACTCCCCTCCCTCCATATCACCTTAAGGTTGTGTCCAAAGTATTTACTTTCAGACAAACAAGAAAAGGAAGTTAATCAGTATTTGCCTAAGAGTATTCTTTTTCATAAACACAATAATGTGCTAACTCTATCAGTAATATTCTAAAAACAGTCCTTGAAGAAAGGAGTGCCTTTAATTATACTATTGCAGAGTTAAATATACAATATTATCTTCATATTCTAGACTATATTGCTTGAACGATACACTCATCAAGTTAAAGCTACTGCTTTTCCACTGAAACAGGGCTCTACTGCCATTAGCGTGAACAAGAGAATCTACAAATGTGTGAACTCAGAATGCATTACTGATCTTTCCTAGGTTGAACAGAAAACCTCTCAACATGCTATCTCCCAACAAGCAAGAAGAAAAACATTGGCTTAAGCTGGGTGTAGTGGACACCCCTGTAATCCCAGCACTCAGGAGGCAGAGGCAGGAGGATTGCTCTGAGGTGCACATGTCTGCAGAGAAAAGTCCAGACCAACTAGGGATACATAGCAAGACTTTTTCACTAAATACAATAAAAATGAAACAAACAAAAAAGGAAAGGTGTGTGCAAAGGCACAATTCCCTTTCTCAAGGGCTGTCCTGAGCCACTGCATCTGGCCCAGCGAGCTGCTAGAAACGTGAAGACACCGACTTCTCCTTGACCTCTTCTTTAGAAAATTGTGTTTGCAGTCAACAGCATCTTTGTCCACTAAATTTAAAACTAATTCCAATAGGATGTTAGAATTAAGTGAATTAGAAATGAACTTTATGATGTCTGCTAGGTCGACAGTTTTCACTCCTTTAAGAATCACGACTCTTCTACTTTCCACTTTGCATTTATTTGTCCTTTGTATTAATTTCCCACTACTGACTTGGCTCATTTTTCTTTCTTTTTAGTTTTTCTCTCCTACCACAGCCTTCATTTGTTTTCCAATTCCCCTTCTGAAAATATTTCTACTTGTATATCTGATGGGTCTAATTTATTCCAAATCAATTACCCAAGCTAAGTGAGTTTTTCAAATAGCATCATTTTCATAAAATTCAAGTTTAGGTACAAGACTCCAATGAAACTTCCAAAGCTCTTAAGGAAACATTGCTCAATATAAAAGGGAAGGTTTATGCCTGGTGCCAATGTCTGTGGAGAACCCCACACAGAAGTGACACCAATGTGTATCCTGAGCCTAAGACGTACTCTGTGAGAAGAGAAGGTCAGAATTCCCATGGCTTTGGGACCAAACAGATAGAAAAAACAGAGTGGGGTGTATTAAGTGAATCTCGAAAAATTCTCATCACAATGTATGATCTTCTTTTCTTCTTCCTATTCCTCTCCTTCACCTGTTTCCATCCCCCCTGCCCCCGTTATCATACTTAACTAGTCTCTGCTGAAAAGTACCTATCTTTCTGCTAAACCATAGCCTACACCAAGTACTTCTAAATTTTTAACATAGGTACTAATTGTTATTAGCATCTCAGTTTTATTTTTCAAATGCATGACAAAGATACTAATTTGAGGATCTCAATATGAACTGAAAGTCTAATTTGTGGACCAGTGAAGGATGTGCCCACGGGAGTCAGAGGAGGTAGAAGCAAGTGAAGGCAGCGTGGTTGCCCCACAGTATTCTCCTACCTTGGTTAGTTGGTCTTTGAGCCTGGACATAGTTGTAAACATTTCATTAGCTTCTTCTTGGGGACTTTCTTTGGCAATGAGATGTGCTGTCTTGGTAATCATCTTGTACTGAGCATCCATTACTGATGTCCTCTGTTCAATATCCTGCATGAATCATTGAAGCTGCTTGATTAGCACAGGACGCATCTCCTTTCAGTTTCAGAATTCCACAGACAGCAGGACAAAAATCAATATGCACTGTGCAAAGTTCTGTTCTTACCACAGACCCTTATAGCTTCCAGTCCCTATTTTCCTGTATTACCGATGTACAGGCAATGCTATACCGCACATACAAATTAAAGTTTCCTTCTAAAAGTAAGTAGGTATTCTTAAGTTAAAGATTAGTTGAAGTCATGTCCATAGTTTCTAAAATATGTTAATTTAGTATGGAAATACTAATATGTGTAAGTGCATATTAATAATGTGGGAAAATTCTTACTTTAAGAGCTAAACTCATATTTACAAATCAAAAACAACACAACACATTGTAATTGTAGAAAGCATAGAAATTTTAGTATGGTAAGAACTTAAATTCCTATCATTTCAAACAATGATAACTGAAGCTAACATCTTATTACAATCGTTACTCTTTTTTTCTTACATATCTTTTCTTTTCTTTGAGACAGAGTCTCCCTGTAGCCCCAGCTGTCCTGAAACTCACTATGCAGACCAAGGTGACCTTGAACTCACAGAGATCCCCCTGCCTCTGGCTCCCAAGTGCTGGGACTAAAGGTGTGTGCCACCACACCTGGTTTTTTTTTATGTATCTTTATGCTTTTAAAATCTTTATAAAAATTAAAAGGATAATGCTCCAATATATTATATATAACATATACTATATATATTCATTCAACTGGTTCTGTTTCTTTAGAGAACCCCGACTAATACAAATGGTTTAGACTTCTCACTTAGTACATTGTTCCAATTTCTCTTGTCACTAAATATTCCATTATTTCATTTTTGAGCTTCAGACTCTTAAAAATATGTAAATATAAAAGTCATGCAATAAACACTTTATTGTGAGCATTATTTGGAGGGACTATCTGTATTTGTCTCTTGTTTTCTTCAAATTATTTCATAATTTGGATGCAGAAAAAATTCAAATTGAAAAATTATTTTGAAATTAATATGATCAGAAGGTATCTTTTCAAAATTCAGCCATATTTTCTATGAAAGGCATCAATACATGGACTTGTCAAAATGATCCTTAGGACACTAAGCACTGTGATGAGCTGACCAACCAGCTGGCTTGTAGTTTCAAAGTAGGTTTTTCAATTTTATGATCTCGAAAGCTCTTACCTCCAAGTCTTGAATTAATAGCTTGACATTAAGAAAAGAGACTTCTAAAGGCTCAGCAAGTTTCTTATGGGCTTCAGTTGCAAAGCCAGAGAGGGTGGTAGTACAGTTTGTGTATTCTTTCTTCATTCTGTCCATCTCATCAGCTCGTGCATACTGTAAAGAAAGCATGGAAGGATGCATCTGAAAGTCTCTAAACCATTATTCTAGAAACGCACAACCTTCACTTTGACATATTCTCATAGGCTGTGGAATTGTTATATGTTAAGAAAAATTCTCATTCCTGATTCTTATTTTAGATAAGTTTGAACTAAGTCCAGTTCAGTTTGAAAGAAAGGAGGAAGAAACAGCAACGAGGAACCAGGATTTGAAATGAGACTCGGTCTGTCTAAGCAGGCTCCATATGTCAGCATAATCCTCAGTCAAACTCTACATTTCTGTAATGTTCCTCCATCACAAACAGAAAAGAGTGAATAATCAACAGCAAAACATATTAGTTAGAACACATCTATGTTTTCCCTTAATAAGCTCAGTAAAATCATTGAAAGCAAGCTGCTTATCACATTCATAACACACGTTTGAAGTGAGTGTAGACTTGAAAGACATACTTGCTTAACTTCCATAAACAGCTCCCTCCATCGTCCATTCAGCAATAGTAACTGCTGTTTCAGATCACGGGAGACAATGTCATCGCAAGTTTCAATCAGAAAATTGCCAGCATCGTTCATGGCAGTGTGCTGCTGAATCCAGTGAGGCAAATTTCGAAAAAAATCCTAAGCAAGCAAGAAAGCACACTCATAAATCAGAAGCCAAATATTAATAAGTGATGTGAACATGGCCAGACCAAGAAAAATATCTGTTCACAAATTTGGTTTAAGATAGATCTTAAAAATCTCTTCCAAAACTAATTTTAAATAAGTTTCAAATAAGAACTAGAAATACCAGGTGTCTTTGGTTTCTCTTTTTTTTCTTTTTTGTTTTCCTTTTGTGTATGTGTGTGTGCACAAATGTATATGTGCATTCCTGTGTTTATGGGTACATGTGCGTACATGTGTATGTGGAGGCCAGAGGACAACCTTGGATCTTGGATACCATTCTCAATATTTAGCAGTTTGTTTTAGGGTCTCTCACTGGCCAGAACTTGTCAAGTAGGCTAGAGTGGCTGGTGAGTGACTCAGAAATCTGTTTTTGCTTGCCCAGGACTGGGATTGTAAGCACATACCACCATGCCTGGCTATTTCTTTGTGGGTTTGGGGGACTGAATTCAGGTCCCTGTCAAGCACTTTACTGACTGAGCTACCTGCAGAGCCCATATTGTACTTGTTAAGAGAGGGCTTTGCTATGCTTCCCAGGTTAGCTACAAACCCCAGGCTCCTGTAACCCTCCCCACTCAAGTTCCCAAACAGCTGGGACGATGGGCACACACCAATGTGCCTGGCTCTTAGTGTCATTTTATAAGAACATCTATGACATATTTTGCTGAAGATAAAACAGGAGAACATTCTCTTTTCCCCATCTTACAGATGAAGTAGCAATCAATTCTGCAAATGTCAGAGGCTTTTGCTTGGTGTTCAGTCCAGTAGATACTAGGACAAGCAGCAAACAAGAAACATAATGTCTTAGGGTAACAAAGCTTTCTTAAAAATTGACCTGTTACTTTTGATTTTTAAATCTGAATATTGCTGGGCATGGTGGCACGTGCCATTAATCCCAGCACTCAGGAGATAGAGGCAGACAGGCCTCTCCAGGCCAGCTGGGGCTACAGGGAGACCTGGTCTCAAAAAGACCAAAAAATCTGAAAAAAATATATATATATACATATATGACATTGATAGTTTATAATCATGGAGATGAATATCAAAGGAAAACATTTCAAGTTAAACATTGGGTTTAAGAAGATTTAATAGGATAACATCCTTTCTTAATTATGCAAGGGTACCCACTTGCCAATGAAACAGTACCCATCTTATTTCAAATTAAATGCATGTGTTCACACATGCACATACATCACTCTGAACACCAAGGATAACTCAAACTCCATTTATAAGCCATGCGTGGGAGGATTTCCTGCATAAATAGATGAGAACATTCCTGTTTCTCATTGCTACATTTCTTTGGATCAAATTAACACATGTGACATGGATTAGGGCACTGACGATCTGATTGGAAAAGTGTAAATCTGCATGGGTCAGTGCCTATTGCCTACCTTATCTACATAAGAATATTCAATCTATACCAATGAAGAATGACAGAAAATTTTAGAATGCTGCAGATATTTGTGCAAATAGTAACATGTGAACTAATCTTGAATTGCCAAGTCATTCATTTAAATATATGTATTGCATTTCTTTATAGGAGCTTGAGATTGCAA